CAACAGGTGTTTGCTTGGCACTGTTGTAGCCAGCGTCGCAAGGTATTCACGTGCCAGAAGCACTAAAGATTCATATGTATTGGTATTCATATTAAATCTATATTCTATTGCTTAAGAGTGTGATTAAAAGTCTGTTTAATCGTGATTAATTTTTTTGAGTTAATCGCGTAAGTTAACTGCGATTAATCGACAGCCCTAATAAAGACTTAATTACTGTTTCTGGCACACTTGTACTTATAAGTACTTCTGTAATGGTGCACTTGGCACTTATATGTAAGTCCTTTTTAAATAAGCCTCAGGGTACAATCACAATTAGCTCTATGCACCTTTACAAGTCAGCAGTGAGACTTGGGGTGTGTCTGCACTGCAATCAGGAGGTGTGACACACCTGAGCTAGCTTGGATCAGTTCCTAGAGGACCAGCAAGTGTAACATGGGAAACTTCATAAAGTTGGGAATGTTTTCCTAGGAGGTGTATGGAAAAAAATCTCTCAGGTGTGTCTACCCATGCTGCAGTCACACTTTCCAACTGCAGTGTAGACTTACCCATAATGAAAACTGATTGGTTCTGTCCATTTTTAGGGTGGTCTTTCCACTCAGGAATGAGGGACATTGGTGCTCTGCTCTGGCCCATTCTGTACCTGTTCTCTGGAAACCTAGAGGACTTTTGCTGCCAGGCCTGACAATTAGGCACCTGCCACCAGCTCTGAAAATACAGGGGCGGGGGAATTTGAACAGATACCCAGCTGTCACTTGACTTCTACCAATACAAACCCCTCCAGCATAATGCCTGGCCATCCAGCAGCACGTTAATGCAGCCCAGATTGTTTCTTAGTGGAAAACTACTTGTACATCTAGAGGTAAAAGGTAACGATCGATAAAAGTGCCACCACAGGGTGTTCTTGATTAATCATTTGCCACTGGCTTAATGTAACAAATCAAACAGATTCATCCTCTTTCACCAATACGCTGATAATGGCTCTGACATCCACTGTTATTTCCAGTTTCCTACGGATCATCTGTGTTTTTAATTCCACTCATTTAATTAGAAAGTATTATAAATTAGTTGTTTAACCACAGTAGATTTTCTTTCTGCCAAGAGGATGCAGAGTGTGCGGAAGATAGATAACACATAAACACACTCATAAATCAGCGTATTCTATTAAAGGTGGCAGGGGGCCTTATTCACTTTTTGTTCTCCCTTTCCTGTGTGCCAAAATCCTGCTTGTTAAGGATCCATCTCATGACGGATTTAACAGAGATGTTATGCGCTAGGATTTTTCTGGCAGCTTTGTTTAGTTGAAATGGTAATCATTTTAATATATGGGAGTGCTGTTCTACTTAGTGGCAGCTGCTGTTTCAGATCTCTCTCCCCATCTCTCTCTCTCATACACACACAGCCAATTTTGTGCAGCACTGCTTTCAGTTACATGACTGATGCAATAGTTTAGCACCAGTCTAGGAGAGTCGCTTTTTTGCCACCTGTGCTCTCACACTGCACGCTAAACCCTGAAATGCCCACACGCAAGGACAGACACTTGACAGGGATACATAAGCTGCACGGAAGCACACGGGCACTCGCTGCATGCTTAAATGTTCAGTGGCAAAGGGACAGGGATTAGGATTGCTGGTGGGTGCCCTCGCGACCAGGCTATAGAGGCATTCCCTTGCTTGCTCTTTTTGGCCCAATGGCTACAAATATTTCATACCAAGTGGAACAGCTTCAACAGGAAAAAATGAGAGGGCATCACTGCCCCCACCTCAGAGTAGCCTATAGCCCGGTGTGTAGGGTACTTATTTACAAAATAGAACAGTGGTTCTCAACCAGGGATTTGCGTACCCCTGGGGGTACTCAGGGGTCTTTCACGGGGTACATCAACCCATCTAGAGATTTGCCTAGTTTTCCAACAGGCTACGTAACAAGCACTGGCAAAGTCAGTACAAACTAAAATTTCATACAGACTATGACCTGTTTATCCTGCTCTATATACTATACGCTGAAGTACAAGCACAATATTTATATTCCAGTTGATTTACTTTATAATTATATGGTAAAAATGAGAAAGTCAGCAATTGTTCAGTACTAGTGTGTTGTGACACTTTTCGATTTTTATGCCTGATTTTGCAAGCAAGTAGTTTTTAAGTGAGGTTAAACGTGGGGTACGCAAGACAAATCAGACTCCTGCAAGGAGTACATTAGTCTGGAAAGGTTGAGAGCCACTGGGAGCCCCAAGTTCAAATCCCTGCTGTATAGTACAGACTTGAACCAATGTTTCTCTACTCCCAGGCTATCATCCCAGAGCCAAAGGTGCAGGAGTATTTTGTGAATCTAGCCCTTCATTTCCTTTGCTTTTATTAAAAACACCTGGAACATTTTGTTCGACCTGACCCAAAACGGTTTCGGATTTTTCAGTCCAGGCAGCAAACCAGGAAAATCAGTTCCTTGCCCAGCTTTCCTGGTGAGCGGATGTGGCAACATTGCAGGTGTATACATACACAAAGATGCCGCACACCGAATTCCTGCCAACACCCACATGCTGCCTAGGCAAAGGCTCTACAGACTGCACATGCCCTGCGATCTCAGAAGCCGTCCCACTTAATGAAATCAGCTGAAGTCCCTGCAGAAATACCGATTTGTTTCAAGCCAACAGTTTCACGTGGCACCATGAAAAATCAGAATCCATTTAGACACTTGCTAATAACGATGGACATTAATGGGGTGCAATGCGGTCCACGTACCATGCTCAATATGGACCTTACTTAGGTTGTGGGTATTGTAACACCGACAGACCCCGGTTAGCAGGTGGGATTGAACCTGGGACCTCTGAAGCTTAATGCAGGAGCTTCTACTGAATGAGCTAAAAGCCACGTGGCATTTAGCTAAGGCTCTAGCAGACTCATTAATCTCCAAGTGGTATCGGTGTGTAGCGGGGTGGTCATCCGCTCTGGGCCTGAAAGGGTTGCAGCCAGCCCTGGGAAAGGGCTGGGGCTGTGAGCTAAAGGCTAGGCTGACGGGGAAGCAGCCACAGCTGGGGCCATGCCCCAATCAGGCCACAGCAGGCCTTATATAAGGCTGTGAGCCAGGAGCTCAGGCAATCTCTCCCTAGCTGTTGAGAGAGACGGGCCTGGCTGCTGGGGAGCTCACCAGGGTACCTGGGGTGGAGCAGTGCTGGGGAAGGGCAGAGGGAGCTGGGGAGCTTCAGCCTAGCAAAGCCCCAGGCTGCAGGCTGAGTTAAGGGCCCACGCAAGGGTACTAGGGATGCAGAGGGGCAGCCCAGATCTAGGCAGAGATAGCTGGTCTGACCCCCCCCTTGCCGATGATGAGTGATTTACAGACTGCAGTCTGCCCCAGTGAGCGGGGGCCAGAGGGTGACTGGCAGTAGCCACTGAGACAAGGACAGGATAGAGGGCTGAGGGTTCCCCTGGGAGGGGAGACCCAGAGTGAGGGGGCACTGCCAGGGGGCAGCACCCCAAGGTAAAGGGGCACCAGGGTCCGGGAGGGACACTGGGGCCAGCGGCAGGCAAGACACCGGCCTGCAGAGGGCGCTCCGGGCTGGAAGAGCTAATTCCCGAGACAACCAGCAGGAGGCGCCACACTGGTGAGTCATCACCTCGCTGCATGGTGCCACCAGAGGGAACACAACCCGACACTCTGGAGGTGCGTGGGTTACAAAAACCTGAGCGGGTGTCAGCAGACTCCAAATCCCTCCCTGAATTAAATAGGGCTATGCCAGGGATGACCTTGGCATTTGTACATGATTATATAAGTAGCAAATCAATGTGCAGAATGCCACATTCTGTCTTTAGCCTAACTAAGGGCCATGCCCAGAGAGCGAGACAGAAAGGAGTTTTCAGAAGGTACAGCAGAGTTTGGTTGGCAGCCCCAGGGGCAAAGCACAGTGAGCCTGGCACATTACTGACACAGATGAGTTCACGGGCTCCGACAGACACACGACAGGAGGCGGGAAGTGAATTCCATGCCCCGTGTGCTCCTTTCCACTCCCCATCCCTCCACAATGATCGGATTGTTCATTGCCATTGTGGGCATGTATATCACTGCTCCTTAAGCCTCCTTTAATCATGAGAACAGGTTCTGTGACTTGAGAGAGGCACTCCAGGAGGGCAAGTTAAACACACTCAACCGGACTCCTGCTGCTTTAAGGATATTGCTAGTGTACTAGGTGAGGCCAATATAATCAAACTCCACACCACAACGTATTTCACTGTGTGCATGATTTCTAGACCAGGCTGATCTATGCTCAGGGCATACAAGAAATTGCACGGCTGCCAGAGGTGACACGTAACTGTGGATGGTGGGCGGGCATTGAAAGGCTCTGGGTGGGCATGTGACCACTCCACGCATTGCCTATGCCTCCAGTCCTTGGCTCACCTCAGTGGGTGGTCTGCAAAGCAGGCCACGGGAAGCACCAGGACGCTAGCAGCAGGGACGGAGAAGCAGCCCCATGTAGCGGGATGAGGGGGAGGAGCTCAACCAGCCGCCCTGTCGCTTCCTCCCTCCTTGTGCTTCACACATGCGTGGCCAGTGCCGCCACCAGGGGGAGCCGCTGCCGGGTGTCCCGGCGGGGGGCAGCCTGAGAAATCTAGGGGGGCATGTGACCCTGCGTGCCCCGCAATGCGTCACCTCTGATGGCTGCCCGGGGATCACTTGGAATAGCAGTTCCGGCATTTTCTGCACCCTGGGAGCACGGGGGCTGCTCCCTCCAGCACCCGCCAGAGAGGAGGATACCAAAAAAGGGGAGTACTCATACCCCTGCCTCTCCCCTTCCCCCTGAGGTGGGGTGGGGGGAGCAAGCTAACAGATGCAGCAAATTGCCAAGACTCAGCCCAGCATAAATGTGGAAGTTGTGGAATTGAGTTGAACTCAAGAGTTTGGGGTCTTCCAGCTCCCAGAGAGGAGTACGATATGTGGTAGGAAGGACTCAGTGAGCAGGTCACTGCCCAGCTCTCTGTATGTGGAGTCTGCAAAGAGCCATCCCTTACCTACTGTCTGATTGTCCAGGCTGGAGTCTGCCAGGCATTTCTCACGCTCATGTTCGATCGCCAGCATGATGGTGCACTCAGGAGGTGTGCTTGACACCTACAGAAAGGGCAGAGAGAGAGAGATTGACCGTCAGTAAATTATCAGCCCATCCATTCTCCCTGGCACATGTATAGCTAAAGATGCTCCCCTGGGCCAAGTAAAAAAGATAAAACAGATTGAACCAAGTGTCTTTTTATGACTGTTTAGGAGAAATAACCAAGTAACCTAATGACGGCCAAAGGAATATGGCTTCACTCAGGCAGCTTCGTTCCTGTCTGCCTTAAACAGCCCTAGTTATCTGCTTATGCTCCACTGCCAATTGACAGCACTTATGTTTTCTTGTTCACTCTGGGTACGTCTATACAGCAGCTAAACACCCATGGCTGGTCAAGGTCAGCTGACTTGGGCTCGCGGGTCTTGGGCTGTGGGGCTGTACAATTGCCGCGTAGATGTTCAGGCTTGGGCTGGAGTCCAAGCTCTGGGACCCTGCAATGGGGGAGGGTCCCAGAGCCCCGAGCCTGAACGTCTACACAGCAGTTTTTAGCCCCGCTAGCCCAAGCCCCTGTAGCATGAGTCAGCTGACCCTTACCAGCTGCGAGTCTTTTATTCCAGTGTAGATGCACCATCAAGAGCCCCGCTGGACTGGCTTGACACAAACAACGGTACCGAGGCGTTTCAGATGGGAGGCTAAAAATTCACACTGAGCCTGTCCCTACCAAGACGCTTTCCCCATATTTACATAGCTTGCTTAGCAAATGACAATTTGCTGCCCCAGCACCCCAGAATTACAGTTGTGAGCTCAAGCAACTAAAAAAATAATAAAATAATAATAATAAAAATGCCTAATGTTAAGATTGTTCCAGCACTTTTTACTTGGCCAGACTTTGTACTAGGATTTATATTATAATAGGGTCTACTGGACTAGGTAAAGAATCAAAGACCCTTTGTCCTGTATATTTTATAAGATACAGTAATAGCTAAGTATATTGCATGAAGGTTTACATTTAACAAAGGAATAAGGAATTGGATGGACACACACACACACACACAGAGTTGTGTTAACATTACCAGCACCTTATTGATTTAGGTGAAATTCCTAACTTTGTTTATTATTTCTATTGCTGCAGCACCTCCTAGCCTCAGTGGGGGATTGGGGTCTCATTGTGCAAGGTGCTGTACAAACACATAACAAAAGACAGAGAAAGAGAGAAAACAACTGATCACAACACACAAGCTGGGAATAGCCAGTGTGGCAAGGAGAGGATGACCACAGAAGTGTAATGAGCAGCAGTCATCTCCCACCAGCTGCCTAACTATTGTCAAGTGTTTTGTAGGCAAAAGGAGAATGGTGAGACTTGAAGGTGGGAAGAGCCGTTTAGTAGCTGACCTCACCATCTTAACGAGCCAATGAAGTATTTTTAAAAAGTAAAAATCTTTATTTGTAGAAAAACAAAGAAAAAAATCTGGAGGTCAAATTGTCTTATGCTGTTTACTGACTCCCCTGGCAAAGTTTATCAATTATTTTCCCACATCACTGGTTTCCAGCACAGTTTATAAACTGGGAGAACCAGTGAATTCTTTGGGCTAACAACTGCTTTCTGTGTATGGTATTGTAAGTGCAGTTCTTTGGGGGTAAATTAGCACATCGCTTTCTCAGGTTAACTCCCTTTTTCTCATCATCACTGATCCTCTCATCCTCTTTCACCTAAACTCTTATCTAATGTCTTCTCTTGTGTACGGCTTGGGCCTGGTCTACACTATAGAGTTAGGTTGACATCAGGCAGCTTATGTCAGCCTAACTCTGTAAGCATCTACTTGAAAAAGTAGCTCCCACCTCTGTAACTCACCCACTACACTGACTTAACTCCACTTTCACGAGAGGCATTGCGCTTATGTTGATGTAGTTATGTTGACGCAGTCTCCGTGCAGACACTGTTGCTTATATCGACGGTTGCTGCCTTTCAGAAACTGTCCCACAATGCCCCACACTGGCAATTAAATCGGTGCAAGCGCTCACTCCTGGTGAGGATGCACACGGTGGACACTAGGAGCATAGTGTGTACGTGTAAATCCGATTCAATTGCTTCAATGGCTGTACGTTGATGAAACTTAGGTTGACTTCGTTTTGTAGTGTAGACTTGCCCTTTGTCTACACTTAAAAATTAGATGGATCTAGCTGCACCACTGGGGGATGTAAAAAAATGTCACCACCATAGTTAGGTCAAACTAACCCTTGGTGTAGACACGCCCAAGTCGGTGCAAGAATTCGTCTGTCAACCTAGCAACAACTTCTCGGAGCGGTGGATTAACTATATCGATGGGAAAACCCGTTCCATCGATGTAGGACAGCTGCAGCCCCGGATCTGTGCCACAATCGCAGCTATGGTGTAGATACACCCATATTCCTGTTATCGTTTCTTTGGGGCAGGGAATGGCCCTTGAGTCGAGATCTTAAAATACTGTGTACATTTACGAAGCGACAGAAATGATTTTTTTTTAACAGTAACCTACGCTGCCTGCAAGCTAGAGATCACAGTATTTAATTGTCATGTTTTTCCTTCTCCTTTATTGAAAGCTGATACACATACCTAAATTTGTGGCTTGCGTGTTTACCTAGCGTGCCATGATATTTCCTTTAGATGAATACTTCATTTCCACTTGAAAAAATTAGGTCAATATATACTTAGGATTCTGAAGGGCAGACTATTGACAGAATTAGGTAAATATGTAAAAAGGGAGTTTTAAAACATGCTCTCTTTCCGAGTGGCCAGCTGTACCTTAAAAACACTACACAGAGGAAGCATGACTCACGGCTAATGCACATGTGTGAGAATCAGGTGCTTTTTCCAGCTCTGCCACTGAATTTCTGTGTGATCTTAAACAACTCATCTTGGCCCAGATTTTTAAAGATATTTAGACATTGCTGCCCTCAGTGTGGCAATATCCAACTGATTGAGGACCCCGAGTCCCATTTCCAAAAGGGATTTAGGCACTTAGGAGATTAACTCCCACTAATTTAAGTATTTAACTCCCTTTTAAAAATGAGACTTAGGCACTGCAAATATCTAAATACCTTTAAAAATCTGGACTTTAGGGCCCAATCCAACACTCGCCGAGGTCAACAAAGATTCCCATTGTCTTCAGGCCTTTCCCCTGTCTTTCACTCAGTCTCCCCTATCTGTAAAATATCAGTAATACTCTTGACTGTGTGTGTCAGGTTTGACTGTTAGTAAAAACAAAAGACTACAGCAAGGACCAGATAGCTCAGGGGATGAGTAAATGGATGTTCTGCTTTTCATCTCTAACCAGCTGGTTAAGTCAGCCATGAGTGAAAGTTGCTGCTAACCAAGGGACGCTCGGTGGCAAAATGAACTGGGTTATCGCCAACCATTTCCCAGTTGACCGGCGTTCCCAGCTCAAATGCCACCGCTACTACAATTGATGGCCTTGGCAGGCAGGCCAGGCTTTCAGTGGCTTTGGAGGCTGAACGATCTTCTCCCCTAGCTACAGTCCCTCCAGAAGAGGTTTGAAACATATCAGTGGGATGGTGGGGTGGGACACTGATTGCTTCCAGAAGTGTTACTGCTCTGTTGTCACTCGGGCACCTGGCACAAAAACAGGGAGCCCGAGGAGCCAGGGACCTCACCAGGAGGGGAGCTGGCTAACTGGGGAGCTGGGCAATCAGCATTCTCCATCACAAAATTGTCAGCCCGCTCCAGTTAGTTTACACAAAGGGCTTACAGAGCTATACTCTTTAGCGAAGATGCTCCCTGTGCCGATAAGAGAACTTCTCCCATTGGCATAGGCACTCCACCTAGCCGAGAGACGGTAGCTATGATGATGAGACAAGCCTGCCCAGTGGGAGTAGCATTATCTTCACTGGGAATTCAGTCGGTATAACTGCATCGCTCAGCAGTGTGGATTTCCGCGAGGGACGTAGTTATACCAGCATAAATTTGTAGTGTAGACCAGGGCTTAGATTTATGGTTAAACAATAATCCAGTTTCTTGGATAAATCCAGCGTGAATGGTCATCTACCAGAAACTCACTCCAGGTATGTTGAACCTGGCGCTGGAAGGTGTAATTGGACTGAGCTATCACCCTAAAAGTAGGAGTGTAGCCCTGGCAGAATGAGTGGTGGGAGGGGCAAGCCACCCCGAGTACAATCCCATCTGAAACCTTTGGTATGTACCCAGTCAGCTAGCCCCTCCAGCTGCTTGCACTCCCTAGGTGTCCTGTCCCAGCACCTGCGTGTGGTCTGATGTAAAACTTGGGATGGATTCATTGTTGACTGCTTCTCCTGCAGCCACTGCAAAATCCTGGGCAGGAGAATGGAGCGGATCTTTTTCAGACATCCGGTAGCTCAGAATTCAGCTCTCGCTCCACCTCTCCTCCGGGGAGGGTGGATAGCTCAGTGGTTTGAGCATTGGCCTGCTAAACCCAGGGTTGTGAGTTCAATCCTTGAGGGTGCCATTTAGGGATGGGGCAAAAATTGGGGATTGGTCCTGCTTTGAGCAGGGGGTTGGACTAGATGACCTCCTGAGGTCCCTTCCAACCCTGATATTCTATGATTCCATGATTCCAGTACAGTCAATGTGAAATAATCCCATGACGGCTCTGTGTAATGAGGATATTCCTTCCCTTTGGGTCCCATCAGCTGTCAGAAGATTACCGTGCTGGCTGCTACTTGCGGCAAGAAAAACCACGTGTACATGTGCTTGCAATTAAATACACCCACAGGACCATCATGGTCTGGGAAACTAGTGGGACATGCAGTGATGTGGCCAGGGGTCAGCTAAAGAGGAGAAGAAAAGAGGAGCAAATCTGAAAAGACTAAAAATATCAGCCTGCAGTCCCTTCCCCCATTCTTGTTTGGCTGCCTGTTGCCAGAGCCACAGTCCACAAATGCAGATTTGCTTGTTTTCTTGGTAAGCATCTTCTGGCTGATCCTCCTCTAGACCATGACAACAGAATCGGAAGACGGTATTAAAAGGCAATAAGATAAGAGTGGCCGCAGCCTCTGAATAGTTCAAATGTCACGTTTTTAATCGGCATTT